TTCTGCAGAGCCACTGGTAGCTTGGAACTGCCTGCCACCTCTAGTTTAGGTTAGCTGCTCAGCAATCCACCAGAACTTCTTAGGGGGTTCATGAGCCAGTATGGTTCTTTAACTGTTTTTTGAGACTGTACACAGCAAAGTAGATAGCTTATCCAATCATTTTCCTTTTCTGAGTTCCTTCCCAATTAACATAAAATGACTGCTCCATAAGGTTCCTATCTGATCATTCCTTATTATTGTGACTTTGATTCCAGACATTTGGGGTTGTTTTGTGTTTGTTTGTTTGGTTGGTTGGTTGTTTTAATTATTATTCATTTTAATGAAAGCTTACAGAGACTTTGGATTTCCATTCATTCATTGTTGTCCTTTTCTCCCTGCCCACTCCTTCCCCAGCTCCCTCTTCTCTTTGAAAAGTAAAAGAAAAATTCTTTCCTTGTTACACAGTCTCTCCCTCCACATCCATTCCATTATTCATCCTTCATTCTTGACTCCTGTCATGACAATAATACCTAATCATAGATCCGTTTTAAACATCTCTCTCCCTCATTTGTTAATGCAATATGCATATTTTATCCCATCTTTCTCAGTCTCCCCCAACCCCCATTGTCAGTCCTGTTTTACAATAGTGGCATTATGCAGTATTTGTCCTTTTGTGACTGAGATATTTCACTCAGTATAATGTCCTCCAGGGTCACCCATTTTGAATAATATTGTATGAGTTCTTTGTTTTTCAAAGTAGCATAGTATTCCATTGTGTGAATATACCACAGCTTCTGTATCCATTTGTTTGTTGATGGGCACTTAGGTTGTTTCCAACGCTTTGCTATTGTGAACAAAGCCGTGATAACCATGGTGTGCATATATGTGCTTGGGCGGTGGTTATGGTTTCTTTAAGGTATATTCCCAGTAGTGGAATTCTGGGTCAAATGATATTTCTGTTTCCAACTTTTTGAGAAAGCACCATATTGCCTTCCATAGTGGTCGCACCATTTTACACTCCCACAAACAGTGAATAAGAGTTCCAGTTTCTCCATAATCTCGCCAGCATTTGTTGTTTGCTGTTCTGTTAAATTTTTCTATTGTTACTGGGGTGAAATGATCTCATAGTTGTTTTAATCCCAGACTTTCTTTACTAGTTAAAAACTAAATTATTGTTTGGTTTTAGAAAGACTTCAGGAGATTTTTTTTTTTTTAATTTACGTTTTAAAAATTATCTTAAGGCAGTAGAGTCAATGGTTCATCCAGCTTTTGTAGTTCAAAAAAAGTCTAGAAAAACAGACATTCGGAGGGCGGGGGAAGAACAAACTGGGGAAGAGGGTAGAGAGAATGGTACAGCAATGAAGGAATGAAAACCCAAAATCCTTGTAAATGTTCATTAATACTAATAAAATTTAATTAAAAAAACCAAAGTATATGAAATGGGGAAAAAAAAAGTCTAGAGTCTGAAAAATTAAAATGATCTTTCCTTTGCTAGTTACATATCTGTATACTAGATTATCTTCAAATTTTAATCAAAATCAGTTATCATGATAGAATAAATTTGAAAGCAAATTTGCAAAAACATAAAGCATGCTGTTCTTCTCACTAAGCTTTTTAATTTGTTTTACAAAATACTGTTAGTTATATTTGTGTTCATTGTCTAGTTGAGTATGACCTATAATGACCCCATGAACAGCAGATCTGACCATGTCCTATCCTATGCCATCTTCACACTTCCTGACACCCGAAAGTCCGGACACACCAAAAAGCTCTGTGTCTCAGAGAAAATGCTACCAGGTAACTCCTCCTCGGAGGCAAACATTGTGAAGCTTCATCTCCTACTTTGGACATGTTGCTAGGCAAGGCTGTTCCTCACAGAGTGACATTATGTTTGGAAAGGTGGAGGGATGGGAAAGAGAGGAAGATTCCCCCCCCCCCAAAAAGAGGAATTGACAGAGATGGCAGCAATGGGCTTGAGTATGTTGGAGATGATTAGGATGGCACAGGATAAGGCAGAGTTGAGCTCTTGTTCATATGGTCACTGTGAGTCATACTTGACTTGATGGCACCTAACAACATTACGTAAATAATTTAAATTTGTAACATGATAAATATTAATAGCTGTAATCCATATAACTAGAGATTCTTTGAACTCCTTAATATATGTAGAGTGTCAAAGATTCCCATAACCAAGAAATAAAGTATTACTGTCTGCAGGATCAGGGCTTACCAGTCAAAAGATAAAATAATTCAGAAGCAATACTGATTAACTCCCACACGATTCAGATCAGGTTGTGGCAAAGTGGCAGGTATCTTGGACTCTGAGCAAGTTTATAGACATTAATATTTTAACTTTTATCATAGGGTCGCTGTGAGTCACGATTCAACAGCACTTAACAACAACTATTTTAAAGCACTAAATGCAGAATACTTCTTAGTCTCACCCTAAATTATTCCATTATTTCTAGTTTCTGTAGACAGTTATTGTCCAGTATGATAACTGTTTGAATATGACTAGTCCAGACTGAGACTGCTGTAAATGCACACTATAGTTTAAAGATTTCATTTACATTTTTAATTTTTATGTTAAAAATTAAAATACACTCGATATATTTGATTTAATATATTAAAATTGTCATTTCTTTTAATTTTTTAAAATGTGTTTACTCATTGCTGTTGAGTCAGAAGTGACGTATAGCTGATCCCCCAGCGGGTTTTAGGGTGTAAATTGTATGGGAGCAGATAGTCTCTCTCGTTGGTTTGAATCCACCAGAGTGGTGTGGCCTTTGTGTTAGTAGCACAACCCCCTAAATGAGAGGGTGTTTGCTAGACAATGTTAACTTATACCTGTGGATTGCATCCTGTTTTTACAGGACAGCACTGCTCTACACCAGGGTTGGCAAATTGAGGCCAAGAACATCTGGCCTAGTCCTTGGAGAAGGGCATCATGCTTGGAAGCACATGCTTGGGTCAACACAGGAGAGGAAATGCCTGAATGAGATAGATGGGTGAATTGACACAGTGACTGTGGCAATGGGAGCAGATGTATCAAGAGAAGGTGGGGTTGGCTCAGGATACAGCAGGTTGAGAGCCCTGGTTCATAGGGTCACTTTGAGTCTAGTGGACTCAGTGGCACATAGTAAAAAATCTGACCCAAATATTCAGACATCTGTTTTTGTAAATTACTTTTTATTGGAACATCCCTTCATTTACATAATGCTTACAGAATTGTGTGTGGTTTCTGCAAAGAGCACAATCCACAAAGCCTAGAATACTTACTCACTAGGTCTCTACAGGAATAGTTTTTGACCCTTACGTTACTTTTTTCCCCCTCTCTTTTCTTTCCACTAGACTTTAAATTATAGGTGTCAATGGGTATCTTACAAATGAATACAGTAGACACAGAGACAGATATGAAAGAGAAGTAGGGGGTGACTACTAAGGGGTATGGTGCTTCATTTGGGGATGATACAGATAAGGGATTAGATAAAAATGAAATTTAGTACAACTTTGAATGTGGTCCTTTTGAGTGTTTTTTTTTTAAATGTTTTAAAAACCCCAGATAGTAGAAACCATTTCCCGCGCGCGCGCGTGTGTGTGTGTGTGTGTGTGTGTGTGTGTGTGTGTGTGTGCACTTCATGAGAGGACATATTTTGGTATGTGGATAAGACCTCCATTTTAAAATTTTTTTTTAAAGATTAATTTGAACTTAATTTGGTAGATAAAAAACAATGTACTTTAAACATGATATACATGTTAATGATGAGAACATGAAAAGAAACAAGTATGCAAATTGTTGTTGTGTACTGTCAAGTTGTGACAGACTCATAGCTGACCCTCCTGCGGATTTTCAAAGACGGTAAATGGGAAGGATTACCTGTCTTTCTCCCTCAAAGCAGCTAGGAGATTGAAACCAAATGCCTTTGGGTTGGCAGAGTAACTCCTTACAACTAAACCACCAGCACTCGCTGCATATGAATAGAGACCAAGGAAGAAAAACTTTTTCTTTTTTTTGAAGAAAAACTTTAAAAATAAATTTTTTTCACATATACTCATTGTCAGAGACTGGCTTTTAAAAATGGCTTTTTGAGGAAGTCATGTCTTGTGAAGTGTTTGAAAGTTGTTCATTGGTAGGAAAGACTGTCTTCTATAGCTTATGCCCTGAAAACTTATACGAATGCTTATAGTCAATATATAATCTCTTTGTTATAAATGTAAATTTCTGCTAGTGCCCAGTAATATACGCTTAACTAATCTCAGCAGATAATTAAATAGATGAATACAAAGTATAAATAAAAATACTATTTTGTGAATGTTAATGTTTTCTCCTTGAAACACTGAACTAAATGTAGAAATCTTGGTAAGCCATTTAGAGGAGGAAAGAGTTTACGGTTTTTATAATTTATAGGGACTTGGATGGCCATCCCAGAATGCCAGTATCTTTTGTCTACAAGGCGAGGTTATTTTTTTCACAATGCTTAGACACTGCTTAAATTATTAACTGTCTTGTACAGTTGACTCATACCTTTATTTTACGAAAGATATGCCAGCTAACAGTCTGCTTTCTGCAAATCCGAAAATCCATAATCAGTATAGTACTTTCTTTCTCAACACAAGCAGTACATTTTTATTGCTCTGAAAACACTTTCTTGTAATATTTATTAGGATGTAAATTAAGATAGGATGGTGGTTAAGGGCACATACTTTGCATGGAATGCTATCTCTTTTTATCATTTTGGTTTCTATTATTTAGTAATATATGTAATCTAGACATCTCTTTATCTCTAAATGAAAATGCTAATTTTCCCAAGAAGTTTTTTTTAAGGACTAAATAAGAAAATGAATGTATTTAGTGCAGAGTAACCACTCAGTAAATGATATTATTGCCATTTAACATGTTACATTTTTAAAAATAAGTTCTTTTGGTTGTCAGCATCATACATTTCAGCATGTATTTTACTGACTCTTACCTTTTCAAACAACATAATGAAGTATTAAGTAACATTCTATTTGACTTTCAGACAAAGAAAAATAAGAAGAAATCAAAGTCAGATGCTAAAGCAGTGCAAAACAGTTCACGCCATGATGGAAAGGAAGTTGATGAAGGTACTTGAGCAAGGGAAAGGAATATACAAAAAACCTTTTTCCCTTACAAAAGTGTGTTCTATAAAAAGCTGAATTTCTTTCTCTTTTTGTACTACAACTCTTCTTTTTTAATAACTACAGATTTTAATGTACACATATGTAACATTGTTAGGAAACACTTTTTGCTGTCTGCATTATTAAAGATCCAGTAGTATTTTTCTGAAGTGGAAACTACCTTGAAATACCTCGTTCAATATCTTTAGTCATTTAAAAGCTAGATATTTTGATTGTTTGCTAAAAATATGGTTTGGGTTTTCCTTTCCATTATTCTTAAATACACAGTTCCTAGAAGGCCATGTACAAAATTCCATAACCATTTATTGTCATCACCTAAATAAACTTATTTAGTGGTGATTCTATGTAACATTCTCCTGTTACTTTTACCCAGAAAAATATATAAAATTCTTTATACCTATCACTTTTCTAAACCATAATTGAGCATTGATAAAATTAGTAATGAGTTCTTTTAATAAACAAGAAAATGAGAGTAGAATAAACTTTTAGGATAAATTAATTAACACTCTTTGAATATTGGCATAACTAAATATGTCATGGTATTTTGTGTGCCCCAACCCCATTTTCCTCCCAATTATTTTTCCCCCTCTCTTACCTTAATACCATTTTTTTTCTGGGGCTATGTCAGGAGCCTGGGAAACTAAAATTAGTCACAGAGAGAAACGACAGCAGCGTAAGCGTGATAAGGTGCTGACTGATTCTGGTTCATTGGATTCAACTATCCCTGGGATAGAAAATACCATCACAGTTACCACCGAGCAACTTACAACTGCATCATTTCCTGTTGGTTCCAAGAAGAATAAAGGTATATTAGTGGAACATAAGAATGATACAAATCAAATTTCCTTTTAATCAGATGTACAGAATATCATTACATCAAAATCTGACTACTTTAAACTGCTTCTATCATTGTGCTGATATACCCTTCTTCATGAAAGTTTTGTGAACCATGCATTTGATTTAGCTCATATTAACAATGTTACTTGTTACATCTTGCCTAGTGAATGGCCTTTTAAATTGAAACTTGCCTTTTGCCTTGAGTCACATGATGTTGGCACTTTTCCTCATGTGTATTGCTTTGCCCTAACTCAGTTGTATCTGCATTTCTTAAATTAAGATATTTAAGTGGAGTTACTGATCAACATTCCTCATGGTGGATGCTTTCATTTTAAGAAGTGAACAAGCATGTTAAGATTGATGTGGATACTGTCCGTATTCTTTATCACTCCAGCTTTTTGAGTGTGTTCCCAGGTTTGAAAAACTAGATGGGAACGTCAAGAATTATTGAGAAAGGGAGAGAAAATAATAAATATATTATTCCTTCTACATGCTCAGACTATCCAAAGTGATGACTTCTTAGTAGCTCTTCATTGCCATAATTTTTATGCTTGTTAAGGTCAGTCTGCACAGTGTACGTTTGCCTTAATTTGAGGCATACATTTATCTTCCTGTACCTTTTTATTAATCCTGCAGTTGTCTTCAGGCTCCTTTCTTAGCTTTGTAGTCTTTTATTTTTTCCTTAATGATTTGGTGGACTTTATTGCCATGGTATAGCAATGACTTCTGCTTAATCCATACTCACTGTTACGTACTAGCTATGCTTTAATATTTTTGCCATGCTCACTGTTACGTACTAGCTATGCTTTAATATTTTTGTTGCTAACCCTCTTTCACGGTCTTGTGCATGTCTTCCTTGCTAGTACAGTCCTACATCACGCTGGTTCGTTTTCATACATTGTGATCATTATGCTTTTTAATATCAGAGACATATTATTTTTGTGCTGTAGTATGTATCCTTGCCTCTTGCCATATTTCCTAAGTCCTGGTCCCAAATACTGGCAAAGTGCTTAAGTTCATTTGTTTGCTTCCAGGATTGTTGAAAAAGGCAGCTGATATTGTTGGTGGCAAAGTTGAATCCAATCACAGAGCACAATTCTCTAGTTCCTACTTGAAAGAATCTTATTTGCAACCATAGAACAGCAGGCTATGTATGCTTGGCTGTTAGGCCTTTATTGGCAGAGTATGATAGAGAATTCAATTTCTTAAGGACATAAGAGTGGTTTATGGGTAAACAAATTATTTTCCAGTATAATTTAATATTTGCAAAAGCTGTTTTAGAAACTAAGTAAAATCTAATTTTTATGTTAGTCCTATTTCTTTAAATATACATAGTGGCCTATTTAGCATTAAATAAATTTTATTTCTATTTTAACCAGGTGATTCTCATCTAAATACTCAAGTTAGCAACTATAAGTCTACAAAAGGAGATTCTACACTTCAGGGTGAGAGAAATTACATTATATTTAAATTAAATGGCCTATCAAAATAGAAACTTACATATCTTTTCCCACATGAAAAAAATTATGTAGAAGGAGGGGAAGGGTTTCAAAACTATTTTAAAATAAAACCACAGTCCAGAGATTCCAGAAATTTGGTAAAAAAGGAAAGATGCTTCTACTTTCTGAGAGTCTTTGATATGTTCTTGTTTTGAAATTTTTTTCTTTTGGCTGGTTTGTTGTTTTTCATTAATGGTTTACATGTAATTTTCATTCTGATGCTTACATTCCTTGATCCAACAGAGAAGGATTTTTTTTTTAAATAGGACTTAGTACAGGCATAAATTGAATAAAACATCTCTTTAAGAAAAAAGCCTTGGGACCATTAATCTTTTTAAACTGCTTACATTAAGGAAATATCAAGTGTTTCAAATTTATAGACTAGTCTAACCTTATGTAGTACTTCTCAGATACATAATATCTTTTATTTACTCATTTATGATAAAGATGAAATTAAATATGGTGATATGCCTAACCTGAAAACAGGAATGTCAAACTAAAGTATAAATTCGAAAATAAAAAGCCTTCTTAACTTCAGACTTGTTCTTGGTTGTGTCAGCTTTCTTCAGATCCGTGATTCTCAAGCTTGGCTACATATTCTGGGAAGCTTAAAAAACAACACATGTACATATGCACAACTCCAAAGATTCTAAATTAACCTGAATTCAGGTTCCAGTCTCTGTTTTTTTCTCATGTGATTTTTATGTGTAGCCAAGTTTGGGAATAACTGCCTTATTATACATCGTATAGGTTAATATGTCATGAACAAACGTGTAACTAAGGAGAATGTCTCCATATTCTTAATAAGTGAGTATTCTGAATATATTCAGAGTATATGTTGCTTCCTTGTTTTGCTCTGTTGTACTTCTTTGAGCACGCGCACACACACCCCTAAGGCCAAACCTTCTGTTTTTTACGTTCTCTAAAAAGCATCCATGTTGATTGTGTTACTTTCAGAATTCTGTATTTTTCTTTTTAACATAGTCTATTTTAAGGATGTTAGGGGGGAAAGTCTATTTTAAGGATGTTACGGGGGAAATGAGTAATAAATATAAGCCAAGCAATCATAGAAACTTTCCCTACTTTAATTAAACCATGCATCACATACTAGTTTTAAATCTTAATCTTTTCTTTACATTTCTTCAGGACTAAATGAAAACCTCACTGTAAATGGAGGAGGCTGGAATGAGAAGTCTGTGAAACTCTCCTCACAGATTAGTACAGGTGAGGAGAAGTGGAACTCTGTTTCACCCGCTTCTGCAGGCAAGAGGAAAACTGAGCCAGCTCCTTGGGGTCAAGACACTGGAGATGCTAATACAAATGGAAAAGACTGGGGAAGGAGTTGGAATGACCGTTCAATATTTTCTGGCATTGGTAAGAACTGTTAGAAAAGTTTATTTAAAGTTGTTTATCCAGTACAATTAAAAATTTTTCAACAATGGGAGGAAAATATTCCATAGGTACAAAAATTAGTAATACTGTATAGAAATAATAGTAAATAACTCATCTTAGATCTTTCACATGAAAACAAGTAGGAAATACCACTGTATTTTCTTACATGTGGTGTATAGTTTATGAACAGATTATCTGATTGATCTAAACACAGTTCATATGAATAACTAATACACTGAAGTAAAGTTTATAGCATACATTTGTGTAGTATTTTAGTCTGCAGTACTTGTTTATACTGAACTTCCTCTCCGTGTGTATGAAGGGAACAGGGTGGGGGGATTATAGCTAGTTATAAAAAAGAAATTGTGTGTTTAGTGCAGGAAACTGCAAACAAGAGGAGAGGAAAAACTACTATTACCATAATGACCTAAAGATAACTCTTCATTTTTTATATTTCTCAATAAATTTCCCCCCATTCTTCTGTCGGCTCTTCTTTTTAAAAAAATTGAGCATGAACTTACCCGGATATGTATTTTAGGTTCTTTTCCCCCCCTCCATTTACCACTGTAAATCAGACCTTACTCTTTATATATATTTTTATTTGATCTATGTTTACAAACCCCATTGTTTCACTATTTCTGTGTTAATGGGAAAAAAAAATTTCCCCTTTTTCCAGTCTTTGAAATAATGTTGCATTGAATAGCTTTGTTTCTGGGTTATTTCTTTAGGCTAGATTCCTAAGAGTAATATTATTGGGTCAAAAGAAATAGAAATATTTGTAATATTCTTACTACAGTTGGCAAGGTATTTTCTTTGGGTTGTTCTAATTTATATTGTCAGCACCTTTGTGAGTGTCCTATTTATCTTTTGCTCTTCAAAGTTGATTATTATATTTTTAAATCTTCCCTAATTTGATAGGGGGAAAATACACTAATTGTTTGAGTTATGCTTGCCCCAACCCCTACTTCTTGAAACTTTCTCCACTCCATTTCATTTATAAATTGATTTGTCCATTTATCTAGTGACTTTTACTGGTTTTTTTTATTTTGTTATGTGCCGTCAAATCGCCCATGGCTTACAGTGACCCTATGAACCGTACTCTATCCACAGCCAGCTTCACCATCTCTGACATACCTGACAGTATTGCCACAGTCACTGGGTGTCTGAAGAGGAGAAAACAGTATATGGGGGCAAAGGGCCGTGATTGTCTTTCTGAAAGGCCCAGAAGGAGTGAGAATAACACAGCCCCTCACAGCCCCAGAGCAGAAAGCTGATTAGGGAGGCCATAGCCCAGCTCCCTGGTGCTTCTAGAGCCACAGCAGTTGCGTATGACCCAATACAAGTCTAGGCTTTAACCCAGATTCCAAGGCACAGTTCCTCACTTAGACTCTGGTTTCAGTTCAGCAGTTAAATCCAAATCACCCAGCAAGATTTGCTTCCAAGCAAACAAGTATCCTGCAAGTTATAAGTCAGCTGTTCCTTCAAGCATCCAGCGAAAACAGCAAAAACTTTTAACTGTGGCCTTTCTCTGAGAACTCCTCTTAAACCTTGCCAGTTTCTCCACAGCAATTCAATAGCCTCTCCATCACCATCACCAGGGTCTCGGTCCCATTTCCTTCAAGTCTTGCCACCACCCACCACAAGTCTTTCTCCCCTCAGCTCTTTCTGCTCAGTATGGGAATCCACTTTCTCTTATCCTAGTCCCAAAGCTGTTAATGATTTGCAAGACCATGTGTCTGCAGTTAAGGTAGCTGGAGACCAGAGGGGACTAACTATAATGGCCAAAAAAAGGCCACGTTTAGGCTAACACCTCAGTGTGTCAGTCTATCTCGTCTGGGGTCTTCCTCAGCAACAACAAAATTCTAAATTTAATACACTACAGATAACACTTCGCTAAGAAAACCAGTTTTGCTTTAGTTTATTGTTTAGTTTGCATTTTTTTGTTACAGTTTTTTCTTTATTCCTATAGCTGCATGAGAGGATTTATTCTAGAACGCTCTTAAAATTGTATTAGATAAAGCTGTATTTTTCATCACTTTTAAGCTCATAAAGACTCCTACTAATATCTGCAATAAACAAATTTTAGATGATTTATTAATCTTGCTGTTTAAAAAAATCTAACCCAGGGGAGCTCTGGTGGCCTAGTGGCAAGAAGCTGCACTCTAATCCCAGAGGTGCGTGGTTCGAATCCACCAGATGCTCTGCTGGAGAAGGAGGGGCAATCTCCTCCTGTACCAGTCAGATCCAATTTGACCATACATGCACAAAAATAATAAATTTTTAAAAAAAAACCAAAAAACTTAATCACTCTGTACCCTGAATGTTCTTATCTCTCTGTATCGTACCATTTCCAAAGATTCCTTAAGAAGGTAAATATTTGTATAGAGGAAGCACCCCTTAATTCTAAGTTTTGTTTTAAACAGGAAGGAAAAATGCCTATGCTATAAAGCATACTTTCATGTTTAGCAAAAGAAATTGTTACATTTTATGAAATAATGTCAGTTTACTTATAATTATGTAAAATTTTCATTATTATGATTTATTAAATGAGACTTGGCTTAACAATGATACAGATAAAGTTAAATAATTTAGAGTTAATGTCAGCATGGTTTGGGACATTTGTTGAAATAGAAAAGAAACTATACTGAGAGAAAAGATAGATGTCACTGGTCTCATGAAGGTATGTGAACTTGAATGTTCTGTACAAAAAAAGAGAAGTCGATTACCAAACCCTCAAGACGTGGCTAATAAGACCAACACACACTGCCTTTAAGTTGGTTTCATAATGACTCTATAGGACAGACCAGAAATGTCTCCAAAGAGTTTCCAAGTAAATATTTATATTTATTTACTTCTGGACAACTGAGTGGTTGCTGTATCTCAGTATGTATTTAGCATTTTATGGGGGCTTTATATAGGAAAGATTTGTAAGTAAAATATATAATCCTTGAATGCAAAATACTTCTGATGGAAACTCTTAAGAACTTTAATAAAATGTCAGTAGTTGTAGAGAGGCTTCAGGCCTTTTGTTCATAGAATCACTATGAGTTGTGCTCAACTCAAAGGCAATCAACAATTGTCAGATAAAGAATTTTAATGTGTTAAAAGAAGTCTCTTGGAGCTCTGGTGGCCTAGTGGCAAGAAGCCACCCTGCAATCCCAGAGGTACATGGTTTGAATCCACCAGATGCTCTACTAGAGAAGGAGGGACAATCTCCTCCTGTACCAGTCAGATCTGATTTGACGGCACACACACAAAAATAATAAAATTTTTTTTAAAAGAAGAAGTCTCTTGAAAAAATGAAGGCTGTGAAGGTAGCATGGTGTGATGGAATAAGCTTGAGCACTAGTTCAGAGGGCCCTATTCTATCATATACTAGCTTTTACGGACTTCTTGTTTAACCTGTATGAATGTGAGGATTGAGTACAATGAAAGTTCATGCCTAGTCCAGCGTAGTTGTTCAACCATGGTACATAATAGGGTAGTTTGGTAGAGGAGAAATTGCCTTGTTCTTGTGACTGTTCCTTTTGTTTTCTGGCAATTAGCAGGTCACTTAACTGCTGTGAAACTGCCTAGCAGGATTAGAATTGGTTAAGGGGACTCAGCAGCTGTTACTGTCAAGTCTTTAAATATTGTTACCATCATTTTTTAAAATCTCTTCATATCTTTCAAGTTTCATTGCAAATTGAAGTCTCCAAGTGACAATCTTTATTTTGACAGCTGTTTGGTCTAGTATGGATAGGGAACGCATACTTTCAACAGAATTCTGCTTCTTTTACGTTTCTCATACTTTTCTGTTTCTGGTATGTGAAAATCTTTTATTAGTTAACAACAAATGTTTAAATTAATTTTAGTGGTGTTATTAAAAAATAGTATTAAGTACTACTGGTCGACATAAATAGTAGGTACTGTATTTTTGTGCAAATAACTCATGCCTTTTTGGTTTTGGTGCTGTTTTGTTCTATGGGGTATCTTTGAGTTTTGGGGTTTCCTGGGGGTGAGTTTATGGTTTTTTGGTGTTTTTGTGTTTTTTGTGTGTGGTTGGTTGGTTTGTGGGGGGGGGGGGTGTTTTGTTAACTGGGTTTTGGGTGTTTTTTATTTGTTGCTGACTTAAGTTGATGGATGATAAGAAAACTGGATTTAACTATGAAATCAGCAGACATAACATAGCCTAGAAGGAGTCCCAGTAGTATAGTGGGTTTAGTGTTGGCTTGTTAACCAAAAAGTCAGCCATTCATGCAGGAGAAAGATGTGGCAGGCTGCTTCTGTTAAGATTTACCGCTTCAGAATCCAGATGGGACAGTTCTACTCTGTCCCATAAAACTGTTTTGAGTTAGAATTTACCTAACAACAATGAATTTCATATTTAAGTATCATTTAATTATTTCCCTTAAGATAATTCGATAAGGGTTTTTAATTAATTAAAAAATAAATTAATAGGAACAGTTTGGATTTTTATTTTCCTTTTGATTACCAACTTCCAAGAGTGTTCCCTCTGGTGCTGTGGTTGAGATATTTTGAAATCAGAACAGAGCAAGGAAACACTGCATGGTTCAAAATAGGGAAAGGCCAGGGATGTGTCCTGTCTCCATACCTTTTCAACTTGCAGAACAGATTATCCGAGAGACTGGGCTCTATGAGGAGAAGTGTGGCGTCAGGATTGGTCGAAGTTCTATTAACAATCTGCGTTATGCAGATGACACAACCCTGCTTGCTGAAACTGATGAGGACCTGAAATGCTTGCTGCAGAGGGTCAAGGACTGCAGCCTTCATTATAGATTGAAGCTCACTGTCGAAGACAAAGATTCTCACCACTGGACCAACTGGCAGCATCAGGATGAATGGTGAAGAGACTGAAATTGTTAACAGCTTTAGTCTGCTTGGCTCCACGGTCAACACTCTTGGCACCAGTAGCCAGGAAATTAAAAAACGTATTGCAGTGGGCAAGTCTGCTGTTAGGGACCTCTCCAGGGTACTGAAGAGCAATGGTGTCACTCTGGAGAATAAGGTGCGTCTGATATAGGCCATGGTCTTTGCTATCACTTGTTACGCATTAGAGAGTTGGACAATGGCTAAGGAGGATAAGATGCCTTTGAGCTGTGGTGCTGGAGAAGAGTATGGAATGTACCCTGGACTGCCAAGAAAACAAACAGATTTGTCCTAGAGAGGGTTAAATCAGGCTGCTCCTTGGAGGCAAGGATTCTGGGGCTTCGTCTGACATACTTTGGACATGTTGTAAGGAGAGACAGGTCCTTGGAGAGGGACATCATGCATGCGAGTGTTGAGGGACAGCACAGAAGGGGAAGACCCTCAACGAGGTGGATTGATTCAGTGATTGGGGTAATCGGGATGGGTGTGTCAGAGGCAGTGAGATTGGAACAGGATAGAGCAGGGCTTAGGGCTGTTGTACATAGGGTCGCTGTGAGTCGCAAGCAACTCGACAGCACATAACAACAACCAAAAGTTTGGTGATTCTAACCTCCCAGCCACTCTTGAACAATGTAGTGGTCTGCTTCTGTAAAGATTTACAGCCTGGAAAGGGCAACTGTACTCTGTCATGAGCTGGAGTGGTGTGTATAGCATGGTGCATGCTAGCCAAGAGGGCACCTCTTTTTTGTTTGTTTTGCTATTTTATTATTTTTTGTGTGTATACCATCAAATCTGATCTGACTGATACAGGAGGAGATTGTTCCTCCTCCTTCAGCAGAGCATCTGGTGGATTCAAACCGTACACCTCTGGTATTGCAGTACAGCTCCTTGCCACTAGGCCACCAGAGCTCTCTTGAGGGTACCTCTCTTCAGTGATCTGAAAGCACTATCGACTCCTCCCATTAAGTCCCAGAAACCCTGTCAAGGTTCACTGAGTTGGAATGAAATGAACAGCAGTGAGGTTTTGGTTTGATGAGCTGAAACTAGCTCTGTGACAGGGGTTTTTGTTTTTGGTTGAGAGACTGCCATACTCAATCCATGTTCGGTCCAAGACTTCTTGCTCATGACTTACACTCTTATTATACCGTTAAAAATAAAAGTAATATTTTGGGCATATTTTTAAAAATGTAGGCAAAAGATTAAAGAAAATTAGTGGAATGGTATGATTTATCCGTAGCAAAGGAGGACAGGTTAATGAGAAAGATTCATTTCTGGAAATGCCACGAGACGTAGTATAAGAGGGCTCAATGCCAGAATGTTTTTTCTTAAATTTCATCATTTTTATTTGTTGTATGGGTAGGTGGAAACTACAGAACAGTGTCATTGATTTCACATGCAAGCAAGATTCTACTGAAGATCATCCAAAAACGATTAGAACAGCACATCAGCAGAG